TTATAATTTATTTGGTAATTTAATTATTTCTTGAGAAAGACAAAAACAATAGAAATAAATATAATTAACACTGACTTAATAATAGGTACTAATTATAACTTAGAACATAAATGAAAAACGCATGACAAGGAAAGTGGCTCAGGACCATGCTTTGCGGCATTCTTTGGAGGAGGATGTTCAGTAGTGGACTTGTGAAGAGCTGTAATGATGATGATGATTCGAAAACTTGCACGATTAAATTATAAGAAATCCACGCTTTTTTATATAGGATAGGGTGTCAAACGAGCACACAGTTCACCTGATGGTAAGTGGTTGCTGTGGCCCATAGACATCTACATCTATCCTCGATTACGAATCAAAATGCAGATGCGTTGTCACCCGTGAGGACTAAGATTAAATGCCTCGTTTCCTTTAAAAAGTGTCTCTGGTTCTCTACACTCACTATACGAAACACAGCATCATTACGCTACTATTTTACATTGATATTCTGTGAGAGCGTGGTCCCTCCCCGGTCGAACCGACCCAATCGTGCTACAACTATACTTCTAATATAACTGCATGGTTCTACCACGTATAAACTACGTCCTTCATTTTTTTTTCATTTTCAAATTGTTCTCGTAATAATGTGATTGTAAATAAATGTTCACTATTTTTTTTATAAATAGCTTATCGATTAAGACAAATGTTTAAAATAATTAAATCGCTTTAATTAAAGTAGTAGGAATGTTTAAAGTTGAAATTGGCACTAAAAGGTTGGTAATTGGGTCATCCACCCTACAAAGCGTGAATATAAAATTTTAATCAGATGCGTGTAATCACTCTGGGAGCTTGTAGCAAACTAAACTCGTGGCCAACGTGTGGACGCGGCGACCAAACTCTGCCAACAATCCTTTGATCTTTTGTAAAAAACCGACACCACACGGATCTCGCGTCAACTTGCGGGCCATCGTTCCAATACATACCAATGAAGCCCAAACACCCCGTCTACACGTTGGCCAATGCTATTGGCCACTACATTCGCCACTGTGTTGGCCAACGTGTAGAGGCGCCGTTAGAATAACATAGTAAAAGAAATACCAAGTGAGTACAGTTGGACGCATAATTTACGATCGCAAACATTCGTCCTTACCGTCATCTGTACACGCGCGCGGTGTAAATCAGCCTCACTGCCAATATTCCTCGACGTATAAGGAACGCCTCAGGGCTTCCAAACATTTCCGACTTGCTCGGACGTGTTCTTTTATATAATAAAATTTACAAACGAACACACACTCCACCTAATGGTAAGTCACCCCTGGGGACTAAGATGGAATGATAATTGATAAAATCAGGCGTTACTTTGCGGAAATCCATTATAATAAAAATAATATAATTTATTACTTTGCAACCTTCCGCTACTAAATACAATGATGTGTTTTACCTGGATTGAAGAGCACTTCCCGCCCTCCCTCAATTTCATGCACTAACTCCGTCACCACTAGTCCCAGCACCACTACTCCCAACGCCACTACTCCTTACTACTTGGAAAGTAATATATTATTTTTATTGAGATGAAACGACTCGTTTCCAGTAAAATAGGTCTTCGGTTCTCCACACTCGTCATACGAAACACAGCATAAAACTGCTATTTTAAGATGGTATTTTGTGAGAGCGTAGTCATTCCCTGGTTTATTAGAGATGTAGACTATAATATCGATAAGTATCGATGGTTCAAAAAGTTTTGTGATTAATTATTATTTTATTCATATTATGCATAGTGTGCAGTAGTTATCGTGAGAGACCCTACTACCTCATATCATCCCCGTGAGAGCCGACAGAGGCAAATAAAACAGATTTTGCACATAAGCACCTTCCTGATGACAACTCAAAGTAATAAAAAAAGCAGCTGCCGAAATATCCCACCTATAAGCTATCTATGGGTGAGGCCTGTGTTTAGCAATGGACTTTTGATAGGCGGTGATGATGATTATGTTATAAATCAATTCTTCTTCGTTTTTGACTTTAAGTCAGTCAGTACACAAAAGTGGACTCATTGTGAAAAGTGGGATAAGTTTAAGACTTAAAGGTATGTCACAGTGGATTGCGATATTATGTACTACCTCTCCCTTATTAAAGAGGATTTGCCGTGATAGTACTTGGCAGACTTTTTGCATCTCTGACTTCTTCTCAACGGTCTTGATATTTCACGTCTGGGGTAAAAACGAGATGGTTATAGATAGATAAATCTATCCATTGGAAGGCATGCAACCATTCTGGCCTGACCCATTGCCACCTGTTACGACACTCAACAAACGAAAGGGTGTTAGGGATTCTCTTTCGTCGCAAATAATGCTACTGTATTTGGATCATTCAGATCATCTAACTAATCCAGATTCGGTATAGTTAGTTCTCTTCCAAGTGTACTAAAGCTGCTATGGCTTGGCACAGAAATATTTATCATCATCATCATAATCATTACAGCCTATCAAAACCCACTGCTGATCATACCATTTTATATTATGCATCTTTTTTACTATTTTATGGTTTATAATAAAAATAATGTTATTTTTGCCGCCAAACCACACACAGGTTTTTATTGTTTTCTTGCAACCCTGTCCATTCAAAGGTTGCCTAGAAGAGATCGCTCTTATCGATAAAACCACACATTGTACCACATTTATTTATTTTTCCCTTTTTGTTCATGTTATTTTGGCGTACAATAAAGTGTTTTATATCTATCTATCAAACATGTGCCTTTCCCAGTCTGCCTTATAAGGGGAATACTTACCATAGTTGCCACGGCAGGCGGGTTGACAATTTTTTATTTTCTTGTTATTCCGACAGCCACGGGACGATATGGGCTAGGGAATATTCTTACACCGTTGCTATACACATTATATACAGTATATAGTAAAACAGAAAATATTAAGAAGGTATCTTAAACCTTATCCCGATAATGTACACTGCAATGAAATCTGAACCGGCATTGCTAAGTTACAAACCGACTAATTGACAGACAAATCGCTTTTTTAACACACGCAACACACGTATTTACTGTATATAAAGTGAAAAAGTAAAGTTAAAGTTACAACCATCCCACTGCTGGTCATGTGCCTTCTGTCATTGCTGTGAGGATTATGGAGAGAACTTATCATGACATGATTTTTTTTCCTCATCAGTGCAGGTTTCTTCACGATTGTTGTTCTGTCTTACTGCCACTGAGCTAGTGGTAAATCAGCACATAAAGTTGCATTTATCAATTTCATTAATGTCGGCGTGATTGGGGAAATTAAGCCAGGGAGATGTAGATACACATGGACAGTCTGTCTAGCATGTTAAACATTCCAAGTTAAATATAAGAGTTCGGCCAAATATTAATGAAAATGATGATGGTACTAACTTGACTGTGACTCCCGAGTTCGATTTACAATATAAATAACATCTGACTTCATTTTGCATTGCATCTGACTTTTTCTCTAAATGTTTCACACGGGCATTAGGTTTTTCTACGTGGTAAAGCCACGCTGCAGCTATGTTATGGTTGTGGCACGAATGGGTTGGATTGACCGGGGTAAAAGCAAGCCCTCACAGAATACCAGAGTAAAATAGCAGCTTAATGCTGCCGTGTTTCATATGGTGAGTGTAGATAACCGGAGACCCTTTTTGCTGAAAATGGGGCATTCCATCTCAGTCCTCTGGAGTGACAACGCATCTGCATTATGAAGAATAAATGTAGATGTCTATGTGCCACTGCATTCACGTACTATCAGGTGGATTATGTGCTGGTTTCTCGCCCTTATTCCATAAAACAGGTTAATTGAAACAAAACCCATACATATCTCGATAAACCTATATCGATGAGTTAATGTCTCTTGAATGTTGAGAGGAAATTTGGCAACCCCAGTCGCTTCCAAGCAAGCAATAAGCGATTAATCATCGACTCGCGTGCAGGGGCGGAAGCGAGCAGTGTGGCGGACACGTCGCCGCCGTGCGCTGTGATTCACTTAAAAGTTTATAAGTTATTAGGCTTAAGGTGTAGTTGCACGGATGATAGCGGAGCGATTTTTTCATTTAAAAAATTTAATGTGATCTGTCCGGTTTGATGTTTAGTGTCGATTTTATTTTGAGTTAACAGAACGTTTTTATTCGGAACCTTTTGAATTTGTACAACTTGCACATTTTTTTAATGTCAATATCTATAGTTTCAGTTATAGACTGAGTAGCTGGCTTTTACTCTATCGATAGAACCAAGAAATTGATATGTGGTATGTAGTTTAACAGCATTGACCACTTAGCCTCACGTTTTATGCATTATACATTTAAAAAAAATTCTAAACTTGAGAACACTGAACAGATTTGTTTATGCATACTTTTAACAAAACTGCGAAGTAATAGCTTGAACAATCGCGAAGTGCGGGCAGGTTGACAGTGTTATACCTATAAACCGGTATGTACAATTGGCATATTTTTCTTAGTGATATCTTCCATCCGCTTCCGCGTACACAGAGCCTGCAACACATGCGTAACGGTGCAATGCGATTACGAAAGCGATAGCGCAGGCGACGACCAACGCCACAAACTGACAGTCGATCCGCGACGCCGCGCCGTCGATGTCGCTCGTGTCGCGTACCAAAGTACCAAGCATGTTAATACACGCACGTCACTACTCACTCGATAAACAACCCCATTGTCGACATACCTATCGATGTTTACAAATAAATATTACTGTTATGTGATCACTTCGCTATTGTTAATGTAATTCTATTGTCACCGTAGAGAATAGTTGGCCAAGCAGTGACGCGCGAAAGTGGAAATTAACGATAAGATTAATCGTGAGGGCATTTTATCGCGAACTTTACGGAGTGCAGTGCAAAAATTGTGTCGTTCCTTTCTATTCGAGTGTTGCGCTTTTTTTTTTTACACGATCAAGACAAATGTTGAAACACGAAGGTTATTTGTTTAAATCGCTATAATGCGAAATATTAAAATATTTATAACATATTTGGTAGTAAACTGGAGCTATGGGTAAGAAATCGGAGCATACTACACCAGATAATAGTGACGAGGAAAGTGGAGAAGCCTTCACCGATGGTGATTTCGGTGATTCAGATGAAGAGACAGTTCTAGAACGGTCAGATGTTTCTAAATCTGGTCAATTGCCTGTCAATGAGACGGTCAACACCAGTGTCAGAACTGTAAATAACAGTGAAGTAGATGAAGAAGCAATATGTGTGACTAATGGAAATGGGGATGGTGAAGAGGATAATGAAAATTTTGAAAATGGGCACGGCTCTCAGTCGGACGAGTTGGACAATTACGTGGATGTTGTCGTGACGGATGCACGAGACGATTCTTATAGCGAGATCAATCCATCGATAATTGGAATTCTCGGAGACCAGCACTCCCATGTACGTACTAAGAAATCATACTTTATTAATTTTCTATACACAGTTATAATGTTAAATTATCCACAATCTAAGAATGCAGGCACTGTTATAAGTTACTTCTTTTAAAGGATAAAGGAAAAATGATATTTCGAAAAGATTTACATTATTTATTATTGCGTCACATATTTGTCTAATCGATAAAGAATTTCTTCTTTGTGATTCTTGAGTCACCTTATACTTATTTGATGATTCAAAATATGTAAAAACAACAAAAAGAGATAAAATGTTTGTTGCTTTCCATATCCGATATCATGGAATTGATTTTCTAAATTTGGTTAGTTTTTAGTCATGATCGGCTTATCTTATCTAATTTCATCCAGCCGCAGCCTTCCCAAACAAAATTCGGAAGGCCGTTATAAAGTTGTCTTGCTCTTCTAAGTGTTTGTTTGATTTATACAGTAGTTACGAAACAGTGGGTTTAAACTTGTAAAACGCAAATATAACACCTTCGACGTCTACATCACCGTCATTCTTTTTATTTACATTTAATTACGAATTCGTGACGGTTCAGTTTGTATTCACTGTCGCGTAGCTTCAAGTGTTTGTGTTACGCAGTATAGTTCGTAACTTGCCGTAACGTGGTTTGTGATGAAGAGGCCTTGTGGAAGAATTTGGTTTTCTAATTGGTGTGTGCTGGAAGCTTTTTAAAATTTAACCCTTTTATATTTTATAACTTTAATAGTTTAATTTTTAAGACCACTTTCAGTTTGACGTTAGAAAAATTATAATTTTTGATATAATATAAAACATTGTAAAGAATAGTAAGTGCCTCGTCAGTGCACGTGCGACGTCAGTGGATAACACTTGTGTTGAATGTAGTGCACGGCAACCTCGACTTTGTGGCATGCTGACAGTAGAGCTACTAATTCGAGCAGCTGCCCGGTTGCTCCTGCTCTACGTGAGTATTTGTTGTTCGTTCATAAAGTCGATTTTTGTTTACACGACTTATGAAAAAACGTAAAACTTTGCATTTCGTCATCTTTATCTTTTATAATCGTTTTAGCAAGTGTACATATGTGTTCATGTGTATACTTTTGAGGTTTGTTTGTGTGTGCGTGTCGCCTCCCTGCTAGAATGATGTCATCGACTTTTATGAGTTTTAACAGCCTTCTGTTCCCTCATGAATAGCAGTATTCTATAAACGGGTACCTCCTAACTATAATTAATAAACATGTTGCAGATTGCTAAAACACTATTGTCATTATTGCTATTATAATTTTAATTCGTTATGTTTCAATAGGCCACAAAGATAACATATTTATATCGTTCTCGAAAACATTGAAAACAGGTACACAATACAATTTTTTTTTTATAGGATCGGGTCACAAACGTGCACACAGTCCACCTGATGGTAAGTGGTTGCTGTGGCCCATAGACATCTACATCTATTCTCGATTACGAATCACAATGCAGATGCGTTATCAAAGTCAAAGTCAAAGTCGAAATCTTTATTTGCAGAATAAAATGTTTAGGTAATACAGGTATTTAGTATAAGAGTAAGTCTCAATAATATTCTACTGGGAGTTGTACCGGTGTGCAAATATATCTTAAAATAATCAAATTTAATTGTACATATATGTCAAAAGATTAAATATATTATATAATGTATTAAATAATATTGCAATTAATTAAAATATTCCTTAACACTATAATAACACTTGTCAAGAAGCCATATATTAATCTCAATTTTGAATTTATTCAAAGGCGTTTCTTTTAAGTAATTGGGCAATTTTATATATATTTTAATAGCCATTATAGGAGCACTGTTTGCATAAAATCTAGAGCTGCATTTGGGATGAACCCGTAAGGACTTAGATGGAATGCCTCGTTTCCATTAAAAAGGGTCTCCGATTCTTTACACTCACCATACGAAACACAGCAGCATTACGCTACTATTTTACGCTGGTATTCTATGAGAGCGTGGTCCTTCGCCGATCGAGCCGACCCATTCGTGCTCAACTATACTACTAATATAACTGCAGCATGGCTCTACCACAAGTATTCCACTAGGCGCTAGAACTCCTTTCACTAGGTTTTAAGACTTCTTTTCTGCCTAGCAGTCTGCCTGTGCGGGGTAGTACCCTTTTAGTTATTTCTTTCTCCAAGCAGCAGTGCCTGTCTTGCTGTGCTCCGACCCGAAGGGTATAGACAATAGAGCCTAAGCATAATTCTTGTAATTATGCTCGGTCTCGATTGTCTTAAAGTTAACATTACATCCTATATACGTCCCACTGCTGGGCACAGACCTTTTATTTCTGAGGTGGTTTTAGACCAAGGAAGTGACCGTCGCGCTGCCGCAATGAGTATTGGCGAACTTCACTTCTCTTTGAAATATTTCTCAGACGTGCAGTTTTCCTTACGATGTTTTCCTTCACCGCCGAGCATGTGATAAATCAGCACTTAAAATTGGAACTAATAATTTGATTGGTGCCGATGGTGATCGACTTTACAGCGAGCGTTAACCATCTGCGCTACCGTGGTTCCGGCGGAACTATCACGGCTCTGTTGTCTATACCCTATTATATTATGTGCCATTCTATCTTGGTCCTCCTAGGTGATATAGGATCTGTAGTAATTTTTTGTTTGAAGTTAGCAACAGGTGTACACGAACTGCAGTAACCACTTACCATCAAGTGGACTATAAGTTCATTTGTTAGTTTATTCAAGCCATTTTAAATAATTCAATAAGGGGACTGGTATTTTATAGTTTAAATTAGCTTGACACAGCCTAGAGATTACTATTCTTACCAAAGATACCAATGACTAGAGTTGCTTGCTTCGATTACGTCGATATCAAATAGCAAAGAATCGTATGGAGTAGGTAGGTATTTACTAACGTGTAATTAATTAGTGTCCAGAAAAGCTAATATTCCACTTAAGTTTCATAATACTTCCTCCCTTCTCTTGGAGAACGTCGTTAAAATGCAAATCACGCGTGTAATGAGTTAGTAACGAATGCATAAGAAGTTTGATCGTCCGATTATCTATTTCTAAATGCATGGCTTTTTAGTACTAAAAGTTTTTATGTTTTAAAAAATTCATTTGTATTTGACATAAATATCTTTCTTTTTCTTACGTGGTAGAGCCATAGTGCAGCTATAGTATAGTTGTAGCACAAATAGGTCGGCTCGAACGGGAATGAGCCGCTCTCATTTTTTTTTTGCGCCCGAAGCAAATATGGGCAACCCTCCGGAAAGCGGGGGGAGGGAGGTTGAGAATGCTCATAGCATACCACGCAGCCGGCTGCGTGGTTATATGGTGACTTTTACCCACTAAACCCAACCTTTTAGGAATTGGCTTAACGATCTGACTAGAGATCTCTAAGCCGTATACGAACGCGACCCTCCTTGGCCTTGAGAAAGGAGGGCGCAACCGCTCTCACAGAACACTAACGTTAAATAGCAGCTTATTGCTGCGGTATTTCGTGTGGTGAGAGGAGAGAACCGGAGATCTTCTGGAAACGAAGCATTCCATCTTAGTGTTTAGGGTTGACAACGCATTCTGCATTTTGATTCTTAATCGAGGATAAATGTAGATGTCTATTTGGGCCACAGCATCCACCTATCATTAGGTGAACTGTGTGTATGAGTGTCAACTTTGTTCTATAAAAAATTACATAAGTTGCCAATTGCCAGTTATGTCATAACTAAAAATTCCATTCGTTTTTGACATAAATGTTTGTTCAATGTGCGTTATTAACATATTAAGATAATTTTATGATCGACTGACGATTTAATCGAATGTTTGTGTTCAAATTTTTAAAGTCCAGATTTAAAGAATATTGTATAAATGCAACACTAAGGACGAGCACACAAAATGCGTGCACGGGACGTATGTATGAGTAGAGACGTGACCGTTGCTGTATCAAGTTGTATTTACGTGAAAAAGTGTGTTTTGCAAAACGATGTTGTTGCCAGGATAAAGAAGGCTCCGAAGAAAAGAAGGGTTCCTTTGGTTGCTTGGACACGGAGAAAGAATGGATGAAGAAAGAGTGACATAAAAATTCAAGGTGCAAAAGTGAGTGGCAGAGTCGGCAAGTGACGCCTTAAAGCATAGGCTAAAGTGTATCGACCAAATTAGCGATTTAATTAAGATGGGTCTTATGCATAGAATACTATAATAGATACATAATAGAACGGGGGAGTAGGCGGAGCCCGCGTAGCCACTTATTTGTCACTAACATGTCAATGCACACGTATAAATGGCAACACGAGATGTGTTTTGACGTAACAATCGTTTCCAAATTTCGCATGCAAATTATTTTGAAAATACCAAATTGCACACTATTTACATATAAATATGTATTAAAATTGAAACGACTTTTTTGATGATTTTGAACATTATTTAAAAGTCTAAAATGTGTAAAGTTACTCAGTCTGTCAATACAGCGAATCGGGTTTGTAGTAGTGATATTACGGCGTAATTGCTTGTATGTATGCTCCCGGCGACGCCGAATCTCGTACAAAATAAGGTTGACTGCCATTCTATTGTGTATTATTGTATTCTATGGTCATATGCATGTAAGCTTAGATATATGTATGTGAAAGTAGCGTCAGGATCATGCCAAAGGGAAGTCGGTAGTCTTTTTCTAGCTCTGTGGGTAACAGGCGTGCGATTTTATACAAGTACGTATGTACTATTTATCAGCTAAGAATTCTGCATGCAAGAAATCTATTCATGCAAATGGCTGATGGCTCGGGACTGTAGGTGAGGCCTGTGTTTAGCAGTTAAACTTGTGAAGGTATAATGACTTATCATCTAAGGCTTCATCACTGGCTTATAATAATTTGTTTTGGTTGTGCACAATATAAATTTTAAATAAAGTTTAATTTACATCATATTTCTTAAGTCTCAGCTTATACATTCTTTCTCAAATTACCGCTGAATAATGTGAGTGATTTTATTTCTTCTAAGAAATTAAATAAACGAAGCGGAATTCGAAACGGCCACTTCAACTCGCAAGCACTTATCATTTAGTTAAAAAAATTTAACCAAAATTATGGTTGCCCTTCTATTTTATAACTTTATATTTAAACACGGTACTACACACTAGTAGTATAGGAGAAATAGTAACGAAACCTATGATGCAGTTATTTTTTTTTTGTCATAAAATTTAAAGATCATTTGAAGAATTTGTTGCATTTTATACGTGGTAGAGTCATGCTGCAGTTATATATTAGTAGTATAGTTGTAGCACGAGTGGGTCGGCTCGACTGGGGAAGGACCACGCTCTCACATAATAACCAGCGTGAAATAGTAGCTTAATGCTGCTGTGTTTCGTATGGTGAGTGTAGAGAACCGGAGACCCTTTTTACTGGTTACGAGGTATTTCATCTAAGTCCCCACGGATGACAACGTATCTGCATTTTGATTCGTAATCGAGGATAAATAGATGGTCTTTTTTTTGGTGTTGGGTGTTTTCGCTTTACATGCTTTTTTACAAACGAGCACACAGTCCACCTGGTGGTAAGTGGTTGCTGCGGCCCATAGACATCTACATCTATCCTCAATTACAAAGCAAAATACAGATGCGTTGTCACCCATGAGACTAAGATGGAATGCCTCGTTTCCAGTATTAAGGGTCTCCGGTTCTCCACACTCACCATACGAAATACAGCAGCGTTAAGCTACTATTTCACGCTGGTGTTCTGTGAGAGCGTGGTCCTTCCCCGGTCGAGCCGACCCATTCGTGCTACAACTATACTACTAATATAACTGCAACATGGCTCTAACCACGTATAATATTGTAATAATAAATGAGGGCAAGGTTCTTGTTAAATATGTTGTGAAAGAGATAACACAATGATTACATGTAAAAAAAAGTGTTGCAATGAATTTTATAATGTTACACTGCAGAGCGCAGGCCTCGTCTCTCACTATACCTACCCCATTTATACG